ATAACCGGTGATGATGAGGCAGAAATTCTTCGGACGAAGGAGAATTTATCAGTCCGTTTCCAGATGAAGGAACTTGGACAACTCAAGCACTTCCTTGGTCTAGAGATTGATCGCACACAAGAAGGAATATTTCTCTGTCAGCAAAAATATTCCAAAGATTTATTGAAGAAGTTTGGAATGCTCGAATGCAAGCCGATTTTGACGCCGATGGAGCCAAATGTCAAAATGAGTACATATGAAGGAAAAGATTTGGAAGATGCGACGATGTATCGACAATTGGTAGGTAGTCTGATCTACTTAACCTTGACTCGACCTGACATTTCTTATGCAGTTGGTGTGATGAGTCGGTACATGAAAAATCCAAAGAAGCCTCATTTGGAAGCAGTTCGACGAATACTGAGATATGTGAAGAGTACAATTGACTATGGTCTTTTGTACAAGAAAGGTGAAGACTGCAAGTTAGTTGGTTACTTTGATGCTCACTATGCAGGAGATCATGACACCAGGAGATCAACAACTGGGTATGTGTTTAAGCTTGGTTCTGGAACCATCTCTTGGTGTAGCAAGAGACAGCCGACGGTATCTTTGTCAACCACAGAAGCAGAGTATAGAGCAGCAGCAATGGCAGCTCAAGAGAATGCATGGCTGGTACAGTTGATGAGTGATCTACATCAACCAGTAGATTATTCAGTACCTTTGTACTGTGATAATCAATCGGCAATTCGCTTGGCAGAAAATCCAGTCTTTCATGCAAGACTAAACATGTGGAGGTACACTATCACTTTATCAGAGAAAAGGTTCTGCAAGAAGAGATAGAGATGAGACATGTTAAGACGAATGATCAAGTTGCGGACTTGTTCACAAAAAGTTTGAGTACAGGTAAGCTCGAAATGTTTCGCTGTCTGCTCAGCACAGTGCAAAGAATGAGAGCTGACATTGAGGGGGAGTGTTGAGAATCAATGTCAAAGTTAGGCAATGTTAGGCAATGTTAGTCAATGTCAAAGCTAGGCAATGTTAGGCAATGTTAGTCAATGTCAAAGTTAGGCAATGTTAGGTATGGTACAATTAATGTGTTTTGTGTGGTAGTAAATAATCTTAGTTTAATTAAGTAGCTTTCATTTGGTTTGCTATAAATACCCAAGTCCCCAAGCCTTGTAATTCATCCAAGGAAAAACAAAGCCTAGAGCTAAATAAGAAAAGCTTTGCTAATTAGTTTGTTTTGTGAGCTTTCTTTAAGAGTGTGCTCTATTTTTCTTCTTCTTGGGATCATTAGAGTTATCTTGGATACTCTTCTTATTCAACAAAGCCCTCATCCAAACATAACCTTACTGTTGCAAAATTTAAGGATGAGTTGTTGGGTTTTTTCCAGCCCATGATAAGTTGTCCTACGTCTATAAGGAATTACAGTCTTAGAAGATTAAATTGTTTTCCCAATTGGAGTTGTTTACCCAATTGGAGTAGGATTCATAACTAGATTCCAATTAGGATTAATAATCCTTATTGAAGAAGACCTTTATTATGTCTATATAAAGGGGCTATTGTACTAGTTTTAAAGGAGGGAGCAAAACAATAAATTGTATACCGCTCAAGGGATTAGAGTGAGAAAATATTGTGTGTGCGAGAAAAAAGAAAAGAGATAGTGTATTTCTTGTTCTTGTTCTTTCAGGTTTTTCGTCAAGTCCTAGTTCTAGGGATTTGGCAAGATTATTGGTTGTGCTCATTATTAATATAGTGAAAGATTGTTGTTGCTGTCCCGTGGACGTAGGCACATATTGCCGAACCACGTAAATTCTTGATGTTATTTATCTTGGTTATTTGTTTTCGATTTCCGAAGATTGTTCTATTTTTCCCATTCTTAAATGCGATATTCTCAACATGAGTATACTCACCCTGATGGCAATTTTCTTGAGTTTGTTCATGGCCGAGAATTGCTTCAACCGAGTTAGAACAGCAGAATCAAGAGGTTTATCAGGAGCAACACCATCTACCTGAACCCATGGGTGGCCTGCAAGGACAAAAGTGCTACTTAATGCAATGCTATATATGGTACGTGATAAAAGAAATGCTGAAAACATTTAGTATCAAACAGTTTGAATAGAAAACTGACTCTCACATCAACAATTTTGCCTTCAATTCTATGTTCAATTATCAACTCGTTGATATGCTCAAAACAGATAGTCTATAAGCATAAACATGGGATTTAACTTCTAACTACGTAGTACACTTTCAAGCTTATAGACTATTTAACTTCTAACTACGTAGTACACTTTCAAGCTACCCAATTAATCAATGGACTAACACATACTTCTAATTTGAAAAGTTTACAACTTGCCACAAAATCAGTTCTTGTGAGATGTTTGGAAAGAAAAATCCCGTTGGGTTAACTGTAATATGCGCCCGCTATGTTATATTTTATTATTCTTACTTAATCTAATTCTAAACCACTTTGTTCACACTAAATATTGATGCATACTTAACCATCTAGTTATATAAATTGAAGCTTAAAAGACGCTTCTGCTGCAAAATAATTCAATATAGCATGATATAATGGAGCTTAAAGGTTGCAACAAGAAGTTCAAAATTTGCGGAGAAAATTTACTCACAAAGAACTTCATGGGCTGTTAGCCGCTTTTTTGGGTCCCTCACAAGCATTCTCCGAACCAAATCCTTAGCACTTTCAGATATGTTGGGCCATGGTTCTGATATGAAATCAAGTTCGCCCTTTAATACCTGCTCAAATATACCTTGCTCCGTTTCTGATCCAGAATATCATAAAAAAACTAGCGATTAGATGTAACTTTTATATGGCTAAAATTTAACGAATATTCAATAAGACAAGGCCATGATATGCCCACCATCCCAGAAAGGGGGCACTCCACTGAGTAAGATATAAATGATCACACCAGCACTCCAAACATCACATTCTTGACCATAGTGCTTCCGTAGTACTTCTGGTGCCACATAGTAAGGGCTCCCAACAACATCAGTGAATGTTTCTCCTGGGAAGATGGGTTTTTGTTATAATTCAGATATTGGAAGAATTCAGTCTAACAATGTGAAGTAGGTCAAATACGTTTGAATGAGCAAAGACAACATTCAGACAGCATGCTGGCTTTAGAAAAATATATCATTCACAGCAGAGATTTACTGGTAATATTAAGCATACTAATTTGTAGCTGCTATTGGGCATGGGAATCATTCGTTTGAGTAGGAAACAATACATTAACATGATTATCAGAAACATGATCATTCTAAGAATTAACTAAAAATTATATCCTTTTTTTCTGAAGGAATTCTCACTTAAATAGTTACTGTGAATTAGGATTGCATCCTTTGTGCTCTTCACAGTTATTTTGAAAAGAGCCCTGAGGGGTGCAAGCAATTTACACAAGCAACATGAGTCATCTAACACGCCGTATACATAATTTTAAAATGAAATGAAAACGAAAAACCAACTAACAAAAGACAATAAACAAATAGTATTTCTTCTCCCCTCTAGCTAGCATAGTTCTGCTTAAATAATGAACAAAGTGTTTCAATAGTTTCATTAGTTTCATGTCTTTTATATTCAAGTCCTTACTTTTACCATATGTATTAAAAAACATATATTGTGGCCAGGCACGTGAAAAACTCGAAAGAGGAAATAACATCTTTGTTTTGGTCTACCAGAAATGACATCATATCATTAAGATAGCTCCAAAAAGTTAGCCACAAAATTACCCAAAATTACAATTATAACTTATACATGCATTGATGTGACCTTGTTGAAGAATTATTAAAGTTAGGGCAAGCTTATGATACATGGTCCCCATATTACTCTTACAAAGTGTTGTACAAGCTAGAGGCAGGAGCAACTAACCCAACTCAAACAAACTTGTCAGTTCTTGAAATGTTGAAGACAGACTTCAAAAAAAGAAAGAAAGCAAATTCGACTAAAAATTTGAACCTGAAACTTTTGCTACAATTAATTTCACTCCATTACAAAAGTAAACAATTTAAGGCTTTTTTGCCAAAATGATTCCTGAGATTTGCATAACTCCTCACTTTGGTCCCTGATATTTGAAATCAATACAAGTGGCCCCTGATATTTGAAATCATCAATCATTTTGGTCATTTCGTGAATAGTTATATTAAATAAAGATTAAAATGGCAAAACTACCTCAATTTAATAAACAACAGACCAAAATGATTTGACAAAAAATGAGGGTATTTTTGTCATTTTATCCTTATTTGATGGAGATTTTTCACGGAATAACCAAATGATTGATGGTGAACAAACTGAGGGATCAATTCTATCAATTTCAAATCTCAAGGACTAAAATGAGAAGTTATGCAAATCTCAATGACCATTTTGGATAAAAAGCCACAATTTTAATATCAAACAATACATATCCTTGATTTTTCAAGCTTCAACGATGAAGTTGGAAATTATTCATACTCATATATTGGCACAAGGCCATCTATATCTCTAAAGCAGTTTTGATCACCCTCCTCCAAAGCCACACACCCCAACCCTTAAACATTTTGATATCTACCTTGCCACCACCTTTCACACACTTACCTCTCCCAGTATATCCCCATCTACACACCTCTCTTTTTTTCTCTCATCTACACACCTCTTTTTTTCTCTCAACTGATATCTCACATGTGCAAATAAAGTTTGCTTATATATGGATAAAATATTTTCACACTTATGGTCGACTACTTTTCACTTCATGAATATGAGACCTAACATCACAATCATAAACATTCAACATGTCAAAGCAAGGAAGACATGTTCGTTTTTTGTAACTACTTAGGAGCAATCAAGTAAGAGAAAAATGGTCAAGTCCAACAAATTCAGTTCCACAGAACCACCATTACAATCTAGAAGTATAAAATCGAAACCTTACACTCATCAAAGTAAACCAATGAATAGGAAGAAATAGTAAGAGAATTCTACCAAAAACCAATTAAATACCAGCTGCATAATGACCCAAAAGCATATATCTTATTTCATAGGTTAATGCCAATAGGGTCAACATATCTTTGCATCTGATTTGCTCCATACGGGTTCCAGATATGAATCTAGTCCATAAATGTGATATCATACCTGGCCTAAAGAACACTGAGAGCCCAAAATCTATTGTCTTAAGGGGTGCGTCCTCTTCCTGGTTGACAAATAGAAAATTCTCTGGCTTTAAGTCCCGATGCATGACACCCAAAGAATGGCATGCTTCGAGGACACCAATGATAACCCTTGCAAGCTTAGCTGCCTTTCTCTCTGTGTAATGCCCCCTTTGTATAATTCTATCGAAAAGCTCCCCACCTGCACACAGTTCCATTACAACATGAACTGCCACAGCATCCTCATAAGCGCTGACAATTTGTATCACATTGGGGTGACCTGCCAAATGATGCATTATCTGAATTTCCCTCCTAACATCCTCGACGTCTTCTTGTGTTGTCAATTTCCTCTTTGCAATCGACTTGCAAGCAAACTCTTTATTCGTTTCCTTCTCCACGCAAAGAAACGTCGTCCCAAATTGCCCTTGTCCAAGCTTCCTGCCCAAGCTATAAACATCCTTTATATTCCCAGTCTTCCTTCCTAACACCGATTCTACTTGCAGTCCAACGCTTGAAATCCTCTTCATATGAGTAGGTTTCTTCGATTTCTCAGCATCCTGAGGAGGCTTACTCACCTCCTCCTTAACCTCCGGCGTATTAGGTTTTTCAGGTTCTGCCTTTTGATGTGGATCATTACCGATTTTCACAGCTGGAGGCGGTGTGCTTTGAACCGGATTAGGAGGAATCTCAATAGCTTTAGGAGCTTTATTCCCCTCATTACCTCCTTTAGATGAATCATGATTTGAACTTGGGCCACTTTTGCTACTATTTCCTTCATTGGGAGGAGGAAGCCTGTTTTCCGGCGGCCGGTTTTTCCAAACGGCAGCGGTAAAAGATTGAAAGAAACCCTTGCCAAGATTTGGTCCTACACATGTGTTCCCCATCAAATAATAAAAGCACCAATCTCAGGTCCTTCTATCAATTTCAACATCCAAATCAATCTTCTTCTTCAATCACATTAACTACAATAATAAGCAATCCAATCAAGTCCCTACCTCTGCAGCTCAGATCAGGGACCTGAACAAAACCTAGCTCGATTCTTTGCGCCCAACAGCATATGATTGGAAACCCTAATTGCACCCTGTTCTATTCAAACTTCCAAGAAATCGATTTTTTCCTTAGATTCAATGACATAAATGAGAAATTTGGGTCCGAAAACGAATTGAGACGCGCAAAATTTCGAGATGCATCACGGGAATCAACTATGATGAAATATGAATAAAAATTTCTTCTAAAATCGGAAAAATTACAATAAAATAGTGAGGAATAAGAATGAAATTTGGAAAATTAAAACAAAAATGAATAGAATTACAGTCCAGAAAAATGTACAAGAACAAATTTCAATCGGGAACAAGAACACCAAAAAATGAACAGAAAATGAAAACCCTAAAAAATGGGAAACGAGAAAAATTGAAGGCTAAAATGAGAGAGGGAGAGAGAGAGAGAGAGTGTGTGGGAAACTGAGCTATTGAGAGCGGTTCGGTGAGTCGTGAAGATGAATGAGAAGCAATTGAAACGTTTCAAATGCTGGGATTCTGAAGTTCTGGATAATTTTCGAAAATTGAAGGGACGCCATATCCGCGTTCTGCATGTAGAGGGGGAGAGAGATCGTGATCGACGCTACAAATCCATACTTACGTGTTCAACCCGCACCGTATTCGGAGAGATTTTTCACTGTGATCGGCATACGGATACTATGTGTGTTAAAAAATTAATAACTTAAAAAAAATTCCATCACTTACATAAAAACACGTAGTGTACCACTTGTGTTCTCATTACAATTAAAAAACTTTCGTATTACTAGTTCAATAATCATGTTTATTTTATTTATATTTTTTTACAATGTCAAAATTAGAAAATAAACTAATATAAAATTCGTAACATTATTTAAATAAAAGATCATTTATTTATGAGTAAAAAAATATTTTTAAACCATAGTATTACAAAGCGAGAATGTAATTATATTTAGGGTAAATTACATAGTAGCCCCTCAGGTTTGAGGTCTATTGCAATCTGATACAACATCTTTAAAACATTTCACTTTCATACCTCAAGTACTATTTTATTTCAATTTCATACAACCGTTAGATTTTCCATCAATGGATTTGTTAAATGCTGATGTGGCTGCCACATATATGATACGTGGCTGCCAAATGTCTGTCACGTGACAAATAAAATAATTTTTTAATTTAAAAAAAAAAAAACATATCTGCCACTTTTTTTTTTTTCTTCTTCTTCTTCTTCCTCCTCCTCCTCTTTCTTCTTCTCTTCTTCTTCTTCCTCCTTCTTCTTCTTCTTCTCGTTCTCTTTCTTTTTTTTTTTTTTTTTTTCTTCTTCTTCTTCTTCATCCTCCTCTTCTTTCTTCTTCTCTTCTTCTTCTTCCTCCTTCTTTTTCTGGGTTCGGTCCCTTTTTTTTTTCTTCTTCTTCTCTTCTTCTTCTTCTTCCTCCTCCTCCTCCTCCTCCTCCTCTTTCTTCTTCTTCCTCCTTCTTCTGGGTTCGGACCCCTTTCTTTTTTTTCTTCTTCTTCTTCTTTCTCCTCCCTCCTCTTTCTTCTTCTCTTCTTCTTCTTCTTCCTCCTTCTTCTGGGTTCGGTCCCTTTCTTTTTTTTTTTTTTTTTTTTTTTTTTCTTCTTCTTCTTCTTCTTCTTCTTCTTCCTCATCCTCCTCCTCTTTCTTCTTCTCTTCTTCTTCTTCCTCATTTTTCTGGGTTCGGTCCCTTTTTTTTTTTTTTTTCTTCTTCTTCTTCTCTCCTCCTCCTCCTCCTCCTCCTTCTTTCTTCTTCCTCCTTCTTCTGGGTTCGGACCCCTTTCTTTTTTTTTTTCTTCTTCTTCTTCTTCCTCCTCCTCCTCCTCCTCTTTCTTCTTCTTCCTCCTTCTTCTGGGTTCGGACCCCTTTCTTTTTTTTTTCTTCTTCCAATTTCAGGTTTAAAAAAAAAAAAAAATTATTTTATTTGCCACGTGGCAGACATTTGGCAGCCACGTGTCATATATGTGGCAGCCACGTCAACATTTAACAGATCCATGGATGGAAAATCTAACGGTTGTATGAAATTGAAATAAAATAGTACTTGAGGTATGAAAGTGAAATGTTTTAAAGATGTTGTATCAGATTGCAATAGACCTCAAACCTGAGGGGCTACTATGTAATTTACCCTTATATTTATTATTATTATTATTACTAGCATATGGGTACACACAAACTGTGTGAGAAAATTTTTTATTTTTGTTTTTGAAATAGAATAAGAGAGGAATGGAGTAATAGAGAACGTGAGAGTGGGAAAATTTTTTTTTTTAATTTTTATAATTAGAGAGATGTTTTTATAATTAGAGAGATGTTAGGATTACATGTAGGTGAAGCTTTGAAAAAAAAACAGCAAAATTTGGTTGTATGAAATTACATTTCTGCCCCATATTTCTTATTCATGTTTTATTTTAATTAGAGGGTTAAACTGATAATTTCATAGGATTTTAGTTGACAATTAGTATTTTATTAATTAGTAGAGATTATTATTATTATTATTATTACTCCTCCAAGGAGGGGTAACGAGGTAAAGATAATTAGAGTTCCGAAGTAACTAACATGAAAAGTTACACAAAACTAATGGAGAACACCTCAGTGACTACGATTTTTTTAGGACCAAATATTTAAACTAAATTTGCAAACCAAATAATGAGTCACCAATAGAAAATAAACACGTTAATCAACACTTGAGTAATAATTCAATTATCAACAACCACATCATTTGATTTACAAAGTTTGGTTTAAAACTGAAAATTGTTAGTAGCGCTCAAAATTCTCATTTCGATCCCCAACATTACCCTTTTTTGAAGGGTAAACTGCGGTTTGACCCCCTAAACTATTTTATTGGTAAATTAACCCTTGAAACTATTTAAAATCAGCTAATTAACCTCTTACCGTTAGATTCCTTCCATTATTCTGTCAAATTCAAGGGCAAGTTAGACTTTTTATCATCAATTCTTACTTTTCAATTATAACCACCAATAAAATAATGTCATGTGGACACAAAATAATTCAAAAAACTTATAGCATAATAAGAAATATAAAGAAACCAAACGTTTACATAACGGACCATTTCACATTGTCATTACACATTATTATGTGTCCACATGTCATAATTTTATTGGTGGTTATAAGTGATATGTAAGAACTGATGATAAAAAGACTAATTTGCCCTTGAATTTGACATGATAGTGGACAGAATCTAACGACAAGGGGTTAATTGACATATTTCAAATAGTTCAGGGGGTCAATTTACCAAAAAAAAAGTTCAGGGAGTCAATTTCAACTGGAGTAATAGTTCATGGGGTTAAACGGTAATTTATCCTTTTTTAATCATAAGTATAAAAGATGGTGGTAGTATCGTAATTAAATTGAAGTGTGGCACCGGTAACTTTTTATTCAAAGCCACTAAACTTTCAAATGATTACGATATTGTCATCGTTTCTTTGTTTTGTCTTTATTGCGAATGAGACCCTCTCAAAAGTAAGACTCTCCATGGAATCTTTGGTACCTCATGTTTTTTTTGCACATTGTTTTATAATGTTGGCACGTAAATTGACATACTGTGACGTGGTAGAAAGTCCATAAAGAGTTCCACATTGAGAATCTCCTTAGCATTTCTCTATTAATAAGTTTATGAAGTGTCTTTTACTAAGATTTTGTTGTTTGAAGCCCTTTCTATTAAAACTCCTAAAAATTTCTACACTTTATAAAAAAGAAAGAAAGAAGTGATATTACTACTTTAATTTTGAATTGCAGGGAGAAAAACTTGAAACGTTGATTGAAGAGGCATGACCTCGTCACTTTTTTTTGTTTTTTTGAACAAACAATCTTATATGACTATACTATAGTACTAAATGGCTTGTCACTTAGGTTCTTGTCATTATTATTAATAAAATTTTGTTAAATGTTTTTTATTAAAATTTTGTTGTATGATGCCCATCCTATCAAAACTACTAAAACTTTATACAATTTTTTATTAAAAAAAAGTGATATTAGAGAGAAATTTTGAACGTTAGTGGTTGAAGAACCTCCTTCCTCCTCTCCCCCGTCCCAAAAAAAAAAAGCACAAAAATACAGTTTTACAAGAAAATAACATTAATGTTGTAGGCCTATTTGACTGAACTGTATAAAGGACAGAGAGGGAGAAGGGCTGGTGGAAACAGAGAGAGAAGAGAGAGATGTAATTTTGAGGTGTGTGTTGTATTACCCCATTGTGCCTTTATTTATAGTAGTAGGGAAGGTTAAATCCTTACCCTATTAAGATTACAACTCTAACATGAATTAAACTACTAAAGGAAATATACAAGATACTCCTAGATACACTAGGATTTACACAATCACATTCCTAATTCAAGGGGACTGCAACATTCCTCCTTGAGTGTGTAAATACTCAAACAAAACATTGCATCAGATCTTCAGCATATAAGGTAAAATAGTTGATGAAGTTATCCGCACAATGGGGGAATGCGAGTCTCAAATTTAAAAGAAAGTATGTATTGGTAGTAAAACTCACAAAATCTCGCTATAGTAAGGCATGGTTTGGTACTGAGGTGATTCTGAAAAAAAATGGGTATAAAAAAAAGCTGGGAGCTTTTTTGTGTTTGGTAAACATTCGGCTTCAGCTTTTTTTCACAGTTTTGGGTGAAAAAAAAGCCAAAAACACAAAGCTGCAAAACTCAGCTTTGAAAAACTGGCTTTTTATCACATATGTTTTACATAAAAGTTTACCAAACACTATAATATTGCTTTTTTTTTTCAAAAGCACTTTTACAAAAAAGTTTACCAAACATTCTGCTGCTTTATTTCACAGCACAACAGGAGCAGCTTTTTTTCAAAGCACAGCAATACCAAACCAGCCCTAAAACCCATAGACTAAGGAGAAAAGTGAGAAGTATGCATAATGTCTTAAACAAACGTCAAACAAGACGAAAGTAATGAACTTAATAGAGTATGATCATCCCAGGATGGGTGCCTTGTTAAAACCTCGTTAGGTAGCAAAAACCTAGTGGGGAAAATGCTTATAATCATAGGAAAAAAGTACATTAAAATCAAGTGAGTATGCTTCAGGATATTCCCCATGAGTTAGACATAACTTCCAAATAAGAGAACTACAAGTAATTCAACTCAGATAATTTACGCATACCGATTCCTTGGACAAGCTTCTAAAAAGTAAACTTGGACAATGACTTAGTGAAGAGATCGGCCAAGTTGTCTTGTGAATGGATTTACTTGACTTCAATGTTCTGATGCTGTTGTTGCTGGTGAGAATAAAAGAACTTCGGCGCTATATGCTTGATGTTGTCTCCCTTCAACGACGTAAGTAAGACCACTAGTGTTTCAAATATGTTCCATGACTACTCTCAACCAAAAGAACTCACACGATGCTTCATGCAGGACGAGAATCTCAGCATGGTTCGAAGAAGTCGCTACTAGCATTTGCATGGTAGACCTCTAAGATATAGCGGTGTCTCTAACGGTAAAGATATAACCCATTTGAGAACATGCCTTATGTGGGTCAGACAAATAACCAGCATCTGCGTAATCAACGAGGTGAGAATTAACCTGAGGATTAAGGGGGGTTGCGGCTCCTC